TACTATAAGCAAGTTGCTTGGTTGACCAAAATGTTAAACAAATAGTATTTATACTTAGGTGGATGGGATGTTTGAGAAACATAAGAAACACAGATATATAGCTGCCATTTTTCTTACGGTTCAAGCAAGTTCCAGTTATTAGTGTCATCCTGGGCACACTATCAAAGTCTGAGACAGTTTGGCCTTCTGAAACTGGCTGATATGCAATCTGTCCTTTAAAATATAATCATGAAATTGACATTTCTGATCCTGAATTTCCTTTAATGTGTTTAAGGTGGAGTTTTATGAACTGGCCAACAGCACAGTAATGGAAATGTTCAATAATCATTATGTTATTATTGCTCATTTCGAAAGCAATGAAATGGCATAATCAATAAAACTGTACTCTCATTTAGCTGCTGCTGGTGATATACTACTAAGTTGATAGTTTCATTCTTCTTAAGAATGAAGTTGAAGAAAGTGAAACAATAGAAATGAAAAACACTATGTGGACAATGGCTGATCTTTTACTGTCAGGCTTGCCAGGGATACATAACATTTATGTAAGGGGAAGCTCAGAATTAATTTATTTGCTTTGGATTCACAAAGGGGACTGTTGCTTAGGAGACATGGCTGTTGGAAAGTCCTTTGTTTCCTAGAAAAAATTCTAAAGGTGTACTAACGTGGGGTTTTAAATCTTGAAAATCTCTAAACTGCAGACAAAACCTCATGGGAACATTTCTGGGGGGAGGGTGTGCAGCTTCTGCCAGATACTCCATGTGGAGATGTCCCTTCATAGCCCAACAATCCCCCTCCCAAATGTTTATAGCCACTCAGAGGGGAGATCTCTTGCTTGTTTTGCAATAGCTGTAGGAAGTACATAGGTACAACTGACACACCGTCAACTGCAATATTTCCAGTGTACAGTTTGCTTTCAGAGGCACATATAAACAACTGTGAAGCCATCACCAAAATCAAGATAACAAATGGAGCCATCACCCTCAGCAGCTTCCAGGCTCTCCTCTAATTCCTTCTCTCGTTTCCTCCCTGTCGTGTTCTAGTCTGTTCAGGAAACCACTCATCTCTTGTCTGTCATCCTAAATTAGTTTGCATTTTCTAAAATGTTATGCGAGTGGCCTCATTTAGTATGTATTCATTTTTTTTTCTGGCTTCTCTTACACATCATAATCATTTTTAAATCTATCCTTTTTGAAATCTTTCCTTTTCACTGTGAAGTACTTATCCCTTGCATGATATATACCACAGTATATGGACACATTCGCCCCTTGGTGGGCCGGTAGGGTTGCTTGGGGTGTGCTGTTATAAACAAAGCTTTTATCAATATCCATGTTCCAGTCTTTATTTTTTTTTATTTATTTATTTTTTATTTTTTTGACAGGCAGAGTGGACAGTGAGAGAGAGAGACAGAGAGAAAGGTCTTCCTTTGCCGTTGGTTCACCCTCCAATGGCCGCCGGGGCCGGCGCGCTGCGGCCGGCGCACCGCGCTGATCCGATGGCAGGAGCCAGGAGCCAGGTGCTTTTCCTGGTCTCCCATGGGGTGCAGGGCCCAAGCACCTGGGCCATCCTCCACTGCACTCCCTGGCCACAGCAGAGGGCTGGCCTGGAAGAGGGGCAACCGGGACAGAATCCGGCGCCCCGATCGGGACTAGAACCCGGTGTGCCGGCGCCGCTAGGCAGAGGATTAGCCTAATGAGCCGCGGCGCCGGCCTGTTCCAGTCTTTATACAGACACGTGTTTTCTTTTCACTTGGGCAGGTACCTAGGAGTGGAATGGCTAGATCCCATGATGCATACTATATTCAGCTTTTAATTAAAGCACCAAAATATTCTCTGGGTGACTGTATTATTTGTACATTCTGACCAGCAGTACATGATCACTGCAGTTTCTTATGCACTTGCTAACAATTACTGAGGCTAGTTTTTAATTCTAGCTATTCTAATAAATGTGTAGTGGTACCTCATGATAGCTACTTTTAAATTCATGATTTCTATATTTTTAGAAATTTATTTATTTTTATTTATTCAAAAAGCTGAGTGACAGAGGAGGGAGGAAAGGAGAGAGGGAGAGATCTTCTATCTGCTGGTATATTCCTGAAATGTCAGCAACAGCCAGAGCTGGGCCAGCCAAGCTAGGAGGCTGTAGCTCCATTATGGCCTGGATCTCCTATGCAGGTGGCAGTGATCCAAGTTCTACAGTCATTACTGGCTATTTCCCATGGTGTACCTTAGCAGGAAGCTGGATAAGATGGAAGGGTGGAACTGGGTCCCAGGGATATGGAATAAGGGTATCTCAAGTGGCTCAGTCCCCTGTACAAAACCCACCCCTTCTCATTGTAGTTTTACTACATGCTGTAGTTTTACTAGATGCTGTATGTAGAGCATCTTTGCTTTCATGTGTATATCTGGTGAAGTCTTTTTAGGGCTACTTTTTGATAATATCATAAGCATTTCCATAAATGCAAGTATGGTTATGCTGGGTTATGCAGATGTTTTTCCTAAAAAGAAACAAAATCTTTGTTGAGGAACCACAGCAGATTCTTCACCCAAAATAAAAGCTGTTCAGATGCTGCCTGTCCACCTTTCTTCCAGCTTACCCAGTGAATGAAATAAAGCCATTGGACAGAGAGCACTCAAGCAGCAGCATTCACAACCTGGAAAATCTCCTAGAGCTTCCTGTATGGTCCACAAACCTCAATTCGCTTCCACAAGGGATCCCGGAGGTGTAGGTCATGAATGTGCATAGAATTACACAAAGAAAAGAAGGACATGATCACCCCATGGAAGGCAGAAGAGACACGGCAAAGGAAATCCAACCAACACTGATTTCTAGATGTACAAAAGAAAGCCTTCCCAGCCCTTGGCTGTCTGCAGCAAGAAGCTCTGATTTAATTATACTAGAAGTCTAGATTCTAAGAGAAGAATCCAACACCCAGGAGCACAGACTGGGAGTAGTAACAAGAGCATGTGTATATGTGGCATGAAAGCCAACACACTCGAGGATTCCAATGACAGTCTCATAACCATTGTTCTGGGGACACATACGTGCAGCAGGTACTTCGAGTACAACTAACAGGTCACAGTTCTCTCCAATACAGTTTGTGGTTAAGACTAGAAATAATTTGTATCTCCTTCAAAGCACGTAATTACTTAATTAAAACTGAACACACTAATAGAAGTAAGTTTACACATCTATCTTTACAACTTTCTCAAATCATACAAATTTCAGAACACTTCTAAATCCGTCAGAGGAAATATACCAAAGCAAAGTGAAAAGCAACACTTAACTTCATAGGATCAACTTCTTCTCATCATAAACTTGTATTTCACCTTGATCTGCTTTACAGAGATTTTTCAATAGTTACATATTAGTAGGACATACACAGCTTGAGATTTAACCTAGTGGCTTCTAGACTGGGAAAAGCTTTGGGAAAGTTAAAATTAATGAGACAGTACATACATTGATATGAAGAATGCTACCTGAACCAGGAGCCAGTGCAGCCAACTGAGGCAGAGCCATCTGGAAAAAGCACAAAGCCCAGAGCAAGCCAAAAGGACCGTGGGCCCAGCACTTGGCTGTGGCAGACTTCCACACAGAAGCACTTCCACGCCTGTGGCCAGCCACGTGGAGGACGACTGAGCTGGGCCTTGGCTCACAGTATGCTGCGCTGGCCCAGACAGGGACATCTACTTTATCTTCATTTCTTGGGTTATTTAGCGGATTTGTGATCTATGCCAAAGCCTTTAAAGTAAGAATCTAGCAGTGAGTGTCAGGTGCACAGCAAGACTGAATAATTCACTTCCTTAATATGCAGAAATTAAACGAATTCAGGGGTTAACTAGGACCTCATTCTACGTTAGCCTAAACTATAAGGACTTTGAAATATCATCCTGCTTATCATATGTAATATAACTCTTTGGAAAAAACACCTTCCATGTGCCTCCGACTAGTAGAAACTCAAAGTAGCCAGCTGCCAAATACCTGTTTCAGGTCCACATGAGATATGAAATATGTGCAAGGCTGTAAATCAACCATGAGGAAGTCTTCCTACTTCAAAAAAGTAAATAAAAAGCCAGCTGAACCTGCTGCACTGTCCAATGTGCTTAACAATGCAGTCGGGTGACATTGTGGCACAAGCCAAGCAGGGCTCTCACTTTGAGGAAAACAGCTTTAGATCTTTCCCCAGTGACATGCCCTGGCTCCGACTTCTCCCACCATCCTTGATGGACTGGCTCGGATCAAGTACTTTAAAAGAAAACTGGCTGCGTGTGCTACATCACATCTGAACAACGAGGTAAAATACTTAACCTTCTTTCAGAAACTGCATAATCATTGCTAGAATCAGAGGAAGAAAAGAATTACAGGAATGTGGAGTTTATAGGATACAGAAATCAAACATTTCATACGGAAACTACCTGTTCTGCTGCCATATTCAATTGAACATTTCTCCTGCATTTTAAATTTTTAAACAAATCATTGTTAATTGCTCTGAGAAAATAAGCCAGGATGGGTTTGGCAGACTTGAATGGTGAAACTTCAAGCTTCAATCTTGCCTGGTAAAGTGGGACATAATTGCACTGAATAAAGGTCCCACTTTAACACACGATTAAACCTGAAAGATCTATAATTTTCTTCCCTGTTTCCCTCTCCCTTAGCCACCGCCACCACCACTACTCTTTCCTGAGGCAAGGTGACTTCCACAACTCTCTTTAAAGGGCAACAGTCACAGACTCTGCAGCCCAAAGGAGGCAGGTAGCAAGGGGCAGCTAGCTGCTTCCACTCAGGATGGGAGTGGGAGAGATATTCAATGCTGACACCCTAGCCGGAAACCTCAGGTCCCCGCTGGTGGTGCTGAGGCTCAAGGGGGCAGCCTGCAAGATGCTGAATGGTGCTGGGCCACCAGTTGGTGGAGTTACTATCAAGTTTAAAACATACAGAATATGTCCAGAAATTAAAGCCCTGTTAGAGTCGACTGCCCGAAAAACGTCACCAAGAGACATCTCTTATGCAAACAGCAAGGGGAAGCTTTATTGATTATCCAGCATGCTGGGGCTGTCTGATCATACATGAACAGAGCAGCCCCGAATAACCAAAGGTTCGGGTTTATAAAGGCAAAAACCGCAAAACCGGGAAGGGGGGAAGAGAATACACGGTTGTTAAGCAGTTGCTAAAGTCTTACAATCAGCAATTATGATCTTAAGACATAGACAAATCACATCTTCATTATTAGCCCAGGTAACCCAGGTGTAACCTTTCTACTTTTAAGCTTGAGCAATCATGCTAGGGGGTTTTTGTGTGTTGCCAAGGGTGATGTAGTGCACTGCTATTGTCCGACTATTTGAGATCATAGTTTCGGACCAGAGTCTCACGGTGGGGGGGTTGCTTTCCCAGAATGCAGTCTCAAGTGCTCCAAAATGGAGTCCCTATTGTCAAGGTGCTACTTCACTGTTTTATTTTCACAGCTGCACCAGGAAGCTTCCAACCTGTAAGCTTAAGCTTAACTTTTTACACCCGCACATATACAATTTTAACTCTTCACCCCATGGGACACAGAGGAACATTCCTATTGTAGTTGTCCCGGTGTTTGTTGTGTGGTAAAACTATTAACTTCTTGACTAGTATATTCCTTTTTGATTTTGCACTAAACCCTTTTGACACCAATCAGCTTTTAAAGAGCACGTCTAATAAAAAGTTAAGTACTAAAGCCGTATCTCCAGAAAGGCATGTAGTCCATGTAACCATCTGTCCACATTTTCCACCCATGCTGGGAGCTGTAGTTATATCGACGACTACCCAAAACACCAGCAGACAGGAGCTGGCCTAAGAAACATCAGAATTGCCTGCAACGGGGCAATTACTATGAAACGCATCTCCCTGAAGCAGATGACCCAGAAGGTGTTTCCAGCTCTCTGGGGGTGGGATGCCTTTTCTTTCTGGACTCCCTCATTTGTATGATAAATTGACAAGTCACCCCACTTACAAGGGAGCTAGACTAGAACTTCCTATAGTAGTCCCATTTGTCATCTCGATTCTTAGCACCTAACATGGAATCTGGCAGCTGTAGACACAGAATGAATTAACAAGCAGAAGATCTGCAAGTATCTGGTGGCTAAGAGGAAGGGGTACTTCCCCCGCTCCCCAACCTTTTATTTAAGGAATACAAACTTCATGGTTTTCATAAATACAACTTTAGGAATATAGTGATCCTTCCCACTGTACCTGCCCTGCCACCCATACTCCTACCCCTCTTCCTCCTCCCTCTCCTATTCCCATTCTTATTTTTAAACTAAGATCTATTTTCAGTTAACTTTATACACATACGATTATACTAAGTAAAGAGTTCAACTAACTGTATGAAAAAAAACTACTGCTCAAGAGACAACAGCTGTTCAATGTCATTGCATTTTGAAGTGTTAATTTTACTTCCATAGATTGTCCTTTAGGTGCACTATTAGTTAACACAGCTCAGGGAGAACATATGGTATTTGTCCTTTTTGGACTGGCTTATTTCACTAAGATTATTATTTTCCAGTTTCATCGATTTTGTTGTAAATGACAGGATTTCATTTTTATCGCTGTGTAATATTCTATGGTGTACATATACCATAATTTCTTTATCCAGTCTTCAGTTAATGGGCATTTGGGTTGATTTCATCTTAGCTATTATGACTTGAGCTGCAATAAACATAGGGTACAGATAACACTTTCATACGCTGATTTTATTTCCCTTGGGTAAATTCCCAGGAGTGGAATGGATGGGTCATATGGTAAGTCTATATTCAGATTTCTGAAGTATCTCCATACTGTCTTTCATAATGGCTTAATCAGTTTACATTCCCATCAACAGTGGATTTGGGTAACTCTTCTCCCACATGCTTGCCAGTATTTATTGTTTGTTGATTTCTGTATGAAAGCCATTCTAACTGGAGTGAGGTGAAACATCATTGTGGTTTTGATTTGTATTTCCCTGATGGCTAGTGATTTGATAACTTTTTCGTGTGTGTGTTGGCCATTTGAATTTCCTCTGTAGAAAAATGCCTATTTAAGTCCTTTGCCCATTTCTTAACTGGGTTGTTTGTTTTGTTGTTGAGTTTCTTGATCTCTTTGTAGATTCTGGTTATTAGTCCTTTATCAGTTGAATAGTTTAGAAATAAATGTCCTACACTGAGGGCTGTTTCTTCACTGCCTTGAGTGTTTCTTCTGCAGTACAGAAGCTTCTCAATGTGATGTGATCTCATTTGTCAATTTTGGCTTGATCACCTGTGTCTCTGGGGTCTTTTCTAAGGACTCTTTGCCTTGCCAATGTCTTGCAGGGTTTCTCCAATTTTCTTTAATAATCTGATAATATAGGGTCATAGAAAAAGGACTTTAATCCATTTTGAGTGGATTTTTGTGTAAGGATTAAGGAGGGGTGTTGCTTCATACTTCTATGTGTGGAAATCCAGTTTTCCAGCACCACTTGTTGAAGTGACTGTCCTTGGTGGTCCAGGGATTGATTTTAGCCCCTTTGTCAAAGGTAAGTTGGTTGTAGATACATGGGTTGATTTCTGATATTTCTATTCTTTTCCATTGGTTTATCTGTTTTTGTATAAATACCAGGCTGTTTTGATTATAACTGCCCTGTAGTATGTCTTGAAATCTGGTATTGTGATGCCTCTGGTTTTATTTTTATCATCTAAGATTGCTTTAGAAATTCAAGGTCTCCTGTGCCTCCATATGAATTTCAGCATCATTTTTTTCTATATCTGAGAACAGTGTCCTTGATATTTTGATTGGGATTGCATTGAATCTGTAAATTGCTTTTGGTAGTATAACATTTTGATGATATTGATTCTTCTAATCCATGAACATGGATGATTTTTCCATTTTCTGTGTCTTTTTCTTTAATACTTTGTAATTCTCATTGTAGAGATCTTTGACATCCTTGGTTAAATTTATTCCAAGGTATTTGATTTTTTTGTAGCTATTGTGAATGGGATTGATCTTAGAAGTTCTTTCCCAGATGTGGCACTGCCTGTGCATACAAAGGTTATTGTTGGTTTTATGTGTTGACTTCATATCCTGTCACTTTACCAAACTCTTCCATGAGTTCCAATAGTCTCTCAGTGGAGTCTTTTGGATCCCCTTTATATAAAATCATATTATCTGCAAATAGGGAGATTTTGACTTCCTCCTCCCTAATTTGTATCCCTTTGATTTCTTTTTCTTGCCTAATGGCTCTGGCTAAAATTTCCAGGACCGTATTAAAAAGCAATGGTGAGAATGGACTTCCTTGTCTGGTTCTAGATCTTAGGATGAATGCTTCCAGCTTTTCCCCATTCAACAGTATGTTGGCCTTGGGTTTGTCACAAGATACCTTGATTGTGTTGAGAAATGTTCCTTTTATATTCAATTTGCTTAAGGTTTTCATCATGAAATGGCGTATTTTATCAGTTGGTTTTTGTGCATCTACTGAGATAATCATATAGTTTTTGTTCTCCAGTTTGTTAATGTGATGCATCACATTTATTGATTTATGAACATTGAACCATCCCCTCCATAGCAGGGATAAATCCCAATTGGTCCTGGTGAATGGTCTTTCTGATGTGTTACTGGATTCAATTATCTAATATTTTGTTGAGGATTTTTGCATCTATGTTCACTAGGGATATTGACCTATAATTCTCTTTCTCTGTTGTATTTTTTTCTGGTTTAGGAACTATGATGATGCAGGCTTCATAGAAGGAGCTTGTGAGGATTCCCTCCTGTTCAGTTATTTTAAATAGCCTGGGAAGAATTGGAATTAGTTCTTCCTTAAATGTCTGGTAGAATTCAGCAGTGAAGCTATCCAGTCCTGGGTTTTTCTTTGTTGGGAGAGCCTCTATTACTGATTCAATTTCCATCTTGGTTATGGATCTGTTTTGGTTTTCTATGTCTTTATGGCTCAATATAGGTAGGCTGTATGAGTCTAGAAATCTATCCATTTATTCTAGATTTCCCAGTTTGTTGGAAAACATAATACAGCTCTTTGTAGTAATTTCTGATGATTATTTTTATTTCTGTAGTGTCTGTTGTTACATTTCCTTTTTCATTTCTAATTTTATTGATTTGGGTCTTCTCCCTCTTTTTTTTTCAGTTAGTTGAGACAGTGGAGTATCAATTTTGTTTATTTTTTCAAAAAAAGGGTTTTTTTTTGACAGGCAGAGTGGACAGTGAGAGACACAGAAAGAAAGGTCTTCCTTTGCTGTTGATTCACCCTCCAATGGCCGCTGTGGCCTGCGCGCTGCAGCTGATCTGCAGTGCACCGCACTGATCCGAAGGCAGGAACCAGGTGCTTCTCCTGGTCTCCCATAGGGTGCAGGGCCCAAGCACTTGGGCCATCCTCCACTGCACTCCCTGGCCACAGCAGAGAGCTGGCCTGGAAGAGGGGCAACTGGGACAGAATCCAGTGCCCCAACCGGAACTAGAACGCAGTGTGCCAGTGCTGCAGGCGGAGGATTAGCCTATTGAGCCACGGCGCCAGCAGAAAAACAGCTTTTTGTTTCGCTGATATTTTGTATTTTTTTGTTTCAATTTTGCTTATTTCTTCTCTAAATTTAATTATTTCTTTTTTCCTACTAGTTTTAGGTTTGGTTTACTAGGTCCTTGAGATGCACCGATAGCTCATTTACTTGATGTCTTTCAATTTCTTGATGTAGGCACCAATTGCTACAAACTTTCCTCTTTTTTTTTTTAAATTTTTTTTTATTTATTTGAAAGTCAGAGTTACACACAGAGAAGAAGAGGCAGAGAGGGAGACAGAGAGGTCTTCCATCTGCTGGTTCACTCCCCAGGTGGCCGCAACAGCCGGAGCTGTGCCTATCAGGAGTCAGGAGCCTCTTCCGGGTCTCCCACACGAGTGCAGGGGCCCAGGGACTTGGGTCATCTTCTACTGCTTTCCCAAGCCATAGCAGAAAGCTGGGAGGAAGTGGAGCAGCTGGGACGTGAACTGGCACCCATATGGAATGTCGGCACTCCAGGTGGTGGCTTTACCTGCTGCACCACAGCACCAGCCCCCAACCTTTCCTCTTAACACTGCTTTTGCTGTATCCTATACATTTTGATATGTTGTATTGCTGTCTTCATTCGTTTCCAGAAATTTTTTGATTTCTTTTTTGATTCCTTCAATGACCTGCTGTTCATTCAGGAGCAGGTTGTTCAGTCTCCATGTGTTTGCATATGTTCTAGAGATTCCTAAGTTGTTGATTTCCAGCTTCATTCTGTTGTGGTCAGAGAAGATGCATGGTATGATTTTTATGTTTTTGAATTTGCTGAAACTTGCTTTATAGCTTAGTGTGTGGTCTATCCTAGAGAAAGTTGCATTCACTTGTGAGAAGAATGCGTATTCTGCATCTGCAAGATAAAAATTCTGCAGATATCCATTAAATTCATTTGGTATATAGTGTCAATCAACTCCATTGTTTCCTTGCTGATTTTCTGTCTGGTCAATCTGTCCATTGCTGAAATTGAGGTACTGAAGCCCCCCATTACTATCGTATTGGAGTCTATGTCTCCCTGTAGATCCATTAACTTTTCTTTTAAATAGCCATGTGCCTTGTAATTAGGTGCATATACATTTATAGTAGTCACATTTTCCTGCTGAATTGATCCCTTTAATCATTACATAGTGCCCTTCTTTGTCTCTGTTAGCAGTTTTTGTGTTAAAGTCTACTTTGTCTGATACTAGAATGGCTACAACAGCTCTTTTTTGTTTCCTGTTAGCATGGAATATCTTTTTTCATCCTTTCACTCTCATTCTGTATGTATCTTTGTTGGTGAGATGTGTTTCTTGTAGGCAGCAAATAGATGGGTTCTGTTTTTTTAATCCACTCAGCCAGTCTGTATCTTTTAACTGGAGAGTTGAGGCCATTTAATTCAAGGTGACTATTGATAAGTAACGACTTGGCCCTGCCATTTTTCCATAAATATTCCTATTGTTTACTTTGGATTTCCTTTGTACTTTTACTAGGATATTTTCTGCCTTCACTTTCTTTCATAGTGATGACCATGCTTCTGTGTTTGTGTGTAGCACCTCCTTAACCATCTTTTGTAAGGCTGGACAGGTGGTGATAAATTCTTTCATTTTCTCTTTGTTATGGAAGATCTTTATTTCACCTTCATTCATAATGACAGCTTTGCAGGGTACAGTATTCTGGGTTAACAGTGTTTTTCTCTAAAGACTTGGAATATATCTCGCCATTCTCTCCTAGCCTGTAGTGTTTCTGATGAGAAGTCAGATGTGAGTCTAATTGTAATCTAGTGAAAGTAATCTAGTGCTTCTCTAGTGTACATTTTACAATATTTTTTTTTTTATGTTGCTAAGTCTTTCCACCATATTTTTTAGTTGTTCTATTGAAGGCCCACCTTGTCCCACCAATCTGCATGGAGTTTCCTCTGCCATTTTTTCCCACAGGAGGTACATTTTTTTTTTTAAAAAACTTTTCTGCCCACAGAGGTGATGATTAAGTAGAGTACATCAAGGCAAAATGACAAAAGCTGTCTTCTTGCATCTCCAGCTTCCACTTTATGACATCTCTCCCCATTCTACAAAACTAACTTCCTCAACCCCACTAGAGGTTTCAAAAACTCCTTTTCCTCTCCAATGGGCAAAGGCCACAAAAGCACTACGACAGACACAAGGTGTATGTGGTTCATTGGTACACATCGTCTAGCTCTCTGAAGACCCACAGGTATGCTGACGGAATGAAGGAATGAATGAAAACAGCAGTATATTTTATCAAGGATAATGTTACCTCTTCCAGGCATCTGCAATTCAATTTGAGCCTTCATTTCTCATTATGACCAGAAAGATGTATTTCATAGTATGGGAATTGTAGGCAATTAGAAACTAGTGGAAACGAAATTACTCTTCCTTGGAGAAGGGAGGCTAGAACAACTCTTTGCTCCTCCCATTCTGACAATCCTGCAGAGTTCTGGCATTCTCATGTCCATTCTGATGACAGCGCACTGATCCCAACACGGCCTCCCCAGTGCCCCCTGCATAGGACTCCAGACACTGGAAGCTGAGGCTGCGGTACTCACTGTTATGAGATTATTCCTTCTTCTCTGTCAAAATCACACCCTTACCTTTTTCTCCCTAAAGTGCAATATGGGATTTGGGTTAAATTCTCCTACATTTCTGTGCTTGCTCTCATCCCAATTTAAATATTCAAATCCTTGGGCCAGCTTTGTGGTGCAGTGGATTTAGCCACCAGCTTCCCATAATGGAGCACTGGTCAGAGTCCCAGCTGCTCTGCTTCTGATCTGGCTTCCTGCTAATAGCCTGGGAAGAAGTAGAGATGGCCCAAGTGCTTGAGCCCCTGCCAACCACAAGAGAGATCTGAATGAGGTTCTGGGCTCCTGGCCTCAGGCTGGCTAGAGCCACTACAGCAATTTGAGTGAACCAGCAAGTCTAAGATCTTTCTCTCTTCTCTCTCCATCTCTCTCTCTCTCGTGCGCATGCACTCTCTCTGTGTGTGTGAGCAAGAGAGAGAGAGAGAAAAAGAGAAAGAGAGAGAGTCTTTTTTTTGAAGCCTCAAATCCTTCTGGTCCCTATTACTGCTGTTTCCCTGCCCTCCAGAGTCCTCCAGAGTACCTACTGAGGACCCTTGAGAATGTACATTTTACCATGAGAAAATAGGTTGGGATCATAGAGACTGGGGCCTGCTGTGCTGGCAGCTACAGTCCAGGGAATGAAGAGGGAGGGAGTGGTGATGGGTGACCTCTGGGGAAATGTGAGCTGCCCCCTCATAAGGTCTATGACTTTCTTTAAAAAAACAAACAAAAAGCAGGTGTATGTTTCAACAATTATATTAGGACCATTCAGTTATTAAACTTATTCTATTTTTTATTTATTTGACAGACAGTGAGAGAGACAGACAGACAGAAAGACAGAGAGAAAGGTCTTCCTTCAGTTGGTTCACCCTCCAAATGGCCGCCACAGCCGGAGCTATGCCCACCTGGAGCCAGGAGCCAGGAGCTTCCTCCTGGTCTCCCATGCGGGTGCAGGGCCCAAGGACTTGGGTCATCCTCCCCTGCCCTCCTGGGCCACAGCAGAGAGCTGGACTGGAAGAGGAGCAACCGGGACTAGAACCCGGTGCCCAAATGGAATGCCGGTGCCGCAGGCAGAAGATTAACCAAGTGAGCCACGGTGCCGGCCCTGAAGTTATTCTTATATGGTGTGTACTGTATGCTGGTGTCCTGTTGGATGCTGGGGAGATAAAGATGCAAGTAACAGAAACATTGTCTTGCACAGTAGGCAGTCAGATCCATAAGCAAACGGCTACAGAATACCCCTGCGAGTGCTGCTGGAGGAATAGGAACAAGCTGTGATGTCAGCACAGAGGCAAATGGCCTGGAGAGCGCTGGGTGGGCTTCTGGGAGGAGGTGATTCTTAATCTATAATAATGTAAGCTTTGGAGGAAGAGTGGGAGTTTGCCAGGTGGGTGACAACGTCCCAGGTAGAGGCAGGGGCAGTGCAAGTCTGAGAGCTATACTGAAGTGGCAAGACTGGATGGCTAGGAGAGACCCATGCAGGGTCTCATCCACATGGGAGTGGTTAAATATAAGATGAGTTAATGATGGTGGCAGCCATGCACAGAGAAAAATGTTACAGCTGGTTGTGCTGACCACCCCAATCTGATCATGACCCAATGCATGTCCCTTACATTTGCGTGATTGTTATGTGCTAATTAAAACTAAAACAGAAAACGTTTTATTAATGACAATTTCGGGGAAATATGGTTTGGCTTTGTAAAAAATATATCTATTTGGAACACTCAATTGACTTGCTGATTGGGGGCTGTACATATCATTAAATATATCCAACTAACATTTAAAGTGCAGTTTAAAATGAAAAATTATACATGTAGAGCCATTTTTTATAATGTGCAGACAGCTCTGTCATATACATGAGGGCAGCTTGTACACGGGTGCAGGTCTTCATGGGACTAGCCCTGTGTAATGCAGCTTTCTGCTCACATGATTCATTAATTGAGAAATCACTGTATCTCACTGTATTAGTTGCCCTAATTGAATAGATAAGAAACCTTCTCCCAGGGAATTCATTTTTCTTTCCCTATACAGTTCTCTTACCACCAGGGTAATGGAGATAAAAACAACACAGAAAAGGAAAAAAAAAAAAAAAAAACTTCTTTCAGTGGAAGAGGTTCTGAATTGATTTTTTTGCTTGTGCCATTGTTTGTTTCAACAACACTGCATGAGTACAGTTAGCAGTGGAAACACGGCTTCTGACAGGTCCTGGTGTTAGAAGGCACCTCTTGGGGTTACTGACTCTTCCCTTTCATCTTCAGGCAGGACTGCCTGTGCATCATTTAAGATCAAAAGGAAGCTGTTATCCTGCAGTGGATATTGTCTACAGAAGGAAGCTCCAAGCCTCTTCATTATCTATTTCCACAGAACATGGATTACAACCTTATATCTGGAAGCACATCCTAATGAAACCACTAGGCTTACTGAACTCCTCATGGTTATCTGACATTAATTTTAGGGAGAAAAGTGTCAATCTAGATAGTAAGACATGGCCTCAGAGACTCCACATCTGTATTACTGTTAGCATGAATAATTAATATTAACATTCATGCTTTAGGCCATCAAAACACTCACTTATCACCTACCACAAGCTGTAAGAAGGTAATTTCAGGAAATAAATATCTTAAACATTCAACAGGTTCATAACAACCCTATACTCAAAACTCGTAGCAGCCCAGTTATAATGGACCTGCATGTCTCTCATATTCATGAAATAAAATATTGTGGGAAGAAAGGAAACACCAAGTAGATCAAATAGTTTTCCCATAGTATCCCTAGTCACAGCTTTTCACTAAAATTTCTCTAGATTGGAATTCACCTGTTATGTGCACATAGCCAGCACTAGTAACTTGTGCAACACCTGACTTAAAAAAATCCCAATCTCCTTTGTGATGAGAAGGAGCAGAGATGATCCTAAAGAATGTTACCCTTTAAGCCAACAGTCATGATAATTATCAAAGGAGAGCTGCTGGTTGTTGCTGTCGCTACCATGAGAAATTATTTGAAAAGAATGACAGGAGAAAAAAAAAAACAGCCTTCAGTGCAGATGCGCTGGATCTCTAAGGAATCAAGGGGGACTAAATCCCAGGGGCCAACACTGTGATGCAGCAGGTTAAGTAATCCCCTACTTGTGACACTCGCATCCCATATCAGAGTGCTAGTTCAAGTCCCAGCTGCTACACTTCCATTCAACTCCCTGCTAAAGTGCCTGGGAAAGCAGCAGCAGATGACCCAACTTTCCTGGAACCCAGCCACCCACACAGGAGACCCAGATAGAGTTCCTGGCTCCTGGCTTGTTGGTTCCTGGCCCAGTCCTGATTGTTGTGGTCATTTAAGAACTAATGCAGAGAATGGAAGACCTCTCTCCAGCTCTGTGTCTCTTCCTCTCTCACTCCACCTTTAAAATAAATAAAATTTTAAAAACAGTTACCCAAATCTATCCAGGGAACAACTTTTCTTGGGTCCTTGCAGTAATATTGGAACTTCTGAACTAAGAGATCACCAAACTTTTATAAAACTGTCAGATACCACAAGTTCCTCACATGAATAGAAAACAATATTAAAATGATTTCATTTTTAGATTTGAGTATCTCCCCTAATAGATAATCAGGATAACAACTGGGTTAAGCCTTACAAACCTGAGTACTACAAATGGTCCCAGACTTTTTACAACAGGTAATAGATAAAAAAAAAAAAGAGTGGGATAGATGTCACACTGATTTGGGGAATAAAAAACAGGGGGAGACAAACAAAACACTTCTGGCAAGGGACTAGATAAGAAAGGAACAACATGGAGGTCATTAGGAGGTGCAGCTGGCTTGTTCTCCATGTGAATAAAGATGCTGATTATCTTAGGCAAGAGGGAGCCTTGGGCAGTGAGGAGGCTGAGTACCAAGAGGGGTTGCCAGCAATCAAAACTACAGAAGAGGAACCGGAGAAGAGTTGCTGACTTGGGGATGATCATCAATAATGCACCAAGAAATGAAAATCAGAATGCTTGACACGGTGAAAAGGGCAAACAAGACTGGGGGCTGTCTGTAGCCTCAGAGAGAACAAGTCAACACTGCTTATTCTGATGCTATTTAAGGCAGCAAGATCTCATCATTAACTTGGATTTTTCTTCCTATTGGAAGAACTCGAATGAAAAGCTTTGAGTCGCAACTGAAGTCAGTGTGTGGTTCCAAAGAGAGGGCACAAGCAGACACAGAGCACTTGCCAGCCCTGCTCTAGCCACACTACAAAGCCAAGGCCTCCCAGCCCCTTCCCCTTCCTTGGGCTTATCGTAATCCTATGCTTTTCAGCTGTGAAGACAGCGGTTAACCGACTTAGACTGGCCAGCTGTGAGAAGACCAGGGTGTATGTACTCTGCAGCCCTTTTCAACTCTGTGATTCCATCACTCCTCCACCTGGAGACCTCGACAGTAGGGCATCCACAGAGAAGGTAACTCCAGAAACAATGCTGTAGAGTGCTCATGAGAAAAATGATACGCAATCCTAAAACAAAGAGCAAACAACATTTCTCCCTTTCACTGATGTATTCTGTTCAGGGCTGCCCAATCATTTAATAAAACAGGTCATTAAGGAGACGATCTCGACAACTCTGATGAGAAACTAGGAAAGGGAGGCCAAGGCAACCCTGCTGCATGAAATTCTGATAACTTCACAAAGACAGTTCTGCTGCGAGCTCTCCTGAGCCCTGCACTAAACCACCCAAGGAATACGGAAACCATTCTGCGCTCCTTGAAGTGAGATTTTCATTTCATTGAATGCTTATGAAACTTGTTGAGCAAGTTCTTGAGTTGACAGTTCCTCATTTTGATTTTAAGAAACCCTGTAAGAACAATAATGAAACAGTTCAGAATAAATGAAACTATCATTAATGACTAATGATATGAGGGCACTTCAAAATGTTTACGAAAAATGGAATTCACAGATAACTTTACTTTGGTACGAAAAACTTGGATCTTCAAAAAGTTCTTGAAAAATGTGTACTATGAAATGGGATTAAAAAATTTTCCTGTACCAAAATAAACATTATCTTTTAATCCATTTTCCCTCAAACTTTTGAGGTACCCTAATATTTGCTGAGACCCAGGCCCTAAAGCATCAATTTTCATTCTTACAGTCACCTTAAGAGATTAGAACCAGTATTTGCCTCATTTTCATAGGAGATTGAGGCACAAACAGATGAAGAAACTTGCGCAAGGTCACATTTCTGGTGAAAATTACGTAGAATCTCAATGCATGCTGCCTCTCAAACAGACATCTACTTCTTAAAACAGACTGCCACTGCTTTAAGGCAGGCACTTAAAGTAAGAATCAGGATTTAAGCAGCAGTACTGGTACCCCCTTATGGATGGGGTCCTCTTCCTTCCATCAAACAGCAGGTGCCAGGTAACCTAAAAGTTGAGTCTGCTCCTGCAAAGCTGTCACAAGGCATGATCCTATATGACTATCCTTTGAGAACTCAAATGATGATGTAAGGGAAGAAATGAAACACACATCTCAAAGCCCTCCACATTCTGCAGCATGACCATTCAGAGAGAAAAGGGGCCAATGTTTCCCAACATAAAATCCCATCATCATCTCTTTGATCCTAGTGCCTTTCAGTCAAGAGTTTTCAAACACCTCAACACTTAAGAATTTGATGGCTGGTCCCAGTTCAAGCTGTAGAAAAGTAAGGCAGCTCTGGGGATTATTTTGTTGTTGATGCTTTATGTATTTTTTCCTACTTTAAGGGGGGAAAATATTTTTCCCTCCTTGGGTGAAGTGTTCATCTTGTTAATAAGAGAAAAAAAAATGTTGCTGGAATAGAAGATGGTGATGGAGCTGGTTTGGTTTATATTAAATGACAAGTTAAGAAATTTACACTTAAAATTCCTAAGAGATCACGATCATGTTTAAAACCACCAAAATATATTTTATATATATATATTATATATAAATATACATATTGTGCAATTTTATATATATAAAAAATATATAATATAGGTAGATTCAGACAAATGCCTCTAGGAGACTGAGCAAAAAGGTGAGAAGATGGGCAGCTTAACTTCTTGCCCATGTGAAGGGCAGCCCCAGGGATGGACAAGGAGCCCTCAAAGATCTGTGGCTTTCGGCCGGCGCTGCGGCTCACTAGGCTAATTCTCTGCCTGCGGCACCGGCACTCCGGGTTCTAGTCCCGGTTAGGGCGCCTGTTCTGTCCCAGTTGCTCCTCTTCCAGTCCAGCTCTCTGCTGTGGCCCAGGAAGGCAGTGGAGGATGGCCCAAGTGCTTGGGTCCTGCACCCGCATGGGAGACCAGGAGGAAGCACCTGGCTCCTGGCTTTGGATCAGCGCAGCGCGCCAGCTGCAGCAGCCACTTGGGAAGTGAACCAACAGAAAAAGTAAGACCTTTCTCTCTGTCTCTTTCTCTCAAACTCTGCCTGTCCAAAAAAAAAAAAAAAAAAATCAGTACTGAAGCACTGGAGTCATCACTGGCCCTCAGCCAGAGTGCCCAGCCTTTACAGCACCAGGGAGAGCAGTTTGCCACACGTCTCTCGGTGTGTCTTGTCATATCCTCCTTATGCTGACAATTCTCAGTTGGAACAGCCAAGAAACTGCAGCGGCAATGGGGTGAGGTGTTGCACTCCACTGCTCCTTAGCTGCTTCAGGGCTGGAAAAGCACTCCCAATCATCAGAAGGATCAGCACCGCGGCCATCTTCTAAGCAGCAAAGTTAGTGAGAAATAATCAGCTGTGATGAATGTGGGACCATAGCTGAATTTCCCAAAAGTCCAAAGCTCGGCAGGTGCATCAGGCAGTTGACTGTCAGGATGTTGTAACTAAGCAGAGATCCTCGGATGGCACTCCCCTCCGTTCCCCGGTACATCCCCAACCAGTTCTCCTAAAGAACCGATTTGTATGCAAGAACAAGTAAAACAAAATAAGGATGTTAAAGAGTCAACCTCTACCAAAGAGAGGTGATAAATCAACCTGCGGGGTTCCCGTGAGGATGGCTGGACAGTGGTAGGTGACAGTTACTGGAGCTGAACTGAAGTCTTGGATTTTAAGCACGTTATAATAATTTGAAAAATTAAAAAGAATGTTGAGTCTATAAGTTTTCATCCTTATTTACATATCCAGAAACAAGTATGCTTCTTTGAAAACGAAAAATGAAATAGTCCAATTATGGCTTATTTCCATGGTACATGTGATAGGAAATTTGTTAAATTGCAGGGAACTGAATTAAGAAAGAAAGCACAGTGATCACCCATTAGAGTACAGTTAAATAAATGAGAGGATAAGTGCAGAAAAACCACGATCGGGTCCAGTGTTGTGGCACAGTGGGTAAAGAAGCCACCTGTAATGCCAGCATACTGTATGGGCATCAATTTGAGTCCTCGCTGCTCCACTTAAAATCTAGCTCCCTGTTACTGTGCCTGAGAAAGCAGCAGAAGACAGCTGAAGTGCGTGGGCCCCTGCACTCATGTAGGACATCAGGAAGAATATCCTGGCTTCTGGCTTCGACCTGGCCTACCACCAGCCATTGTGGCCATTTGGAGAATGAACCAGCGGATGAAGACCTCTCTGTCTCTCCCTCCCTTTTTGTAGCTCTGCCTTTCATATTAATAAAATAAATCTCTTTTTTAAAATAAAAATCATGATCAAAGTTGTCTACTCAGATGTATATATTTTAAAGCTATGACAGATTAAAATTTCCAGTTTTTAGAAGAAAACTTAATGTAAGATACAGTTCAAGGGCTAAATAAGCAGCAGCAATAGGTTGAAAGGTTAAGAATGGATTAGAAATGTGATTAAATATCAATTAAATGGTTGCCTAGAAACTAAACTTCAAAACAAAAATTCTTCACTCAACAGAGATTTCAATTATGTGAGAATGCAGTTAATGACAAAAGAAAGGATGACAACGATGTATTCTTTGCCAGCCTACTTATCAAAAGCTCTGCTGCCTAGGAGAACAAGAAAAGCAAAGACTGCGGTGGCCTGGCACTTGACATTCAGGCTCCCACAAGACAAATGAGGGCCCCTGTCCACAATCAAATCACATTTTGGCAAAATTATGCAGATTTATTTCTGGCTAGCTGGAGGTCAGTCAAATATATACAGTTCCCATCTCCAAAGAGTTAATCTGCCATAGGTCCACAGTATGCTGTTCAAACATACATCCAATTCTTAGTTTTGCAGAAGCTGAAATTTGGCTGTGCTCTGTACGACATATTGGCATTAGGCTTTTAATGAGAAACGCTGAAATAAAAATGATGAATTCATTCTTGCCTCAGACATGCAGTAAAAAACGATTGCAAATCCAGCTTCTGGTTTCTGAGACATAATTCTGGAAGGCAGAAACCTCTGGAATACCCATCCTGTTTAGTCTATACATCTGAAAAGTACAAATATGAACCCCTCAATACTTGCTAAGATAAGCCAGTAGTTTGATTAAGATCAACAAAACTCAATAGCAAAAGAACTCCATATATCTCTGTAACATTGACAATGAATGAATGAATTCACCATTTATTGAAAGCCTACTAGGTGATGTCATTATTCTAGTGGTCTTGGATACACTAGTCAACAATGCAGATAAGAATTCCTGTGTACACAGAGCTCAGGCTAGTGACTGATTAGTACACTGTCTCTCTCAACAAAGCCACTAACATTTTCCAAATCACACTTTACCAGAAATTACTAGTCACAGTGTTTAAATAGAGTCCAATTTTGGCAGTGTCATATACTGGGAATCTGGACTACTAGTGGAAGTTGTGGTAAAAAGCTGCAGCTATCTTTAAGGACAATTAAGATTACATGGTCGGGCAAAGTAACAAATACCTGCTATATTGGAATTATTGCCATATGTTAGAAACATTTTTCAAGGTTTAATAATCTGCAAAATCCTAATGATAATAAAAATGTTAAATAGCCAACCAAGTTACTACTGAGAGAATGCAAGCGTTCATTCCATCTTTAATACTTTCCTAATAAAGCGTCTTTCATGAAAAACAACTAAATCAAGCTAGATAAACTAGGCCAAGACAAGACCACTACTTTAAATTAGAGGTCTCACCTGTGACAATCATTAACATTGGAATATCAACCTGGGTAGCAATCTGGTGTTGGGAAATGAGGGTGCTGGTGGTGGTGGATGACCTTAGAAGTGACAGTTTGCTTGAAGGAGAGATAAAAAGGGACACAAGTTGGAACTCAGTGGAAGAAGTCTTAGAGTTCCATGAAATCGTGATACTCAAGAGCAGTAGGGGGATGCTAGGATGATACTATACTCATCTTTGAGCAAGAACCCCACGTACTGCTGCTCCATCTTATTATCTAATTGTAGACGAGTGCTGCAATCTTACGTTTTAGGAGGGGAGCACATATGGACTGGGTTTATTACTGTGAATACCATCAGTAAAGTCTATTTTTTTTTAAGATTTATTTATTTATTTGAAAGAGTTACACAGAGAGAGAATGGGAGGCAGAGAGAGAGAAAGAGGTCTTGCATCTGCTGGTTCACTCCCCAACTGGCCAGCTGGAGCTGATCTGATCTGAAGCACAGAGCCAGGAGTATCTTCTGGGTCTCCCATGTGGGTGCAGACTTGTGCCTTCTTCCACTGCTTTCCCAGGCCATAGCAGAGAGCTGGATTGGAAATGCACCAGAAAAGATTCGAACCAGTGCCAATATGAGACTCTGGCACTGAAGGCTGTAGCTTTACCCACTACGCCATGGTACCGGCCCCTGTAAAGTCTTAATAAATGACCAGGGATTTCATGTAAGAGACTGAATATCAGCAGGAGTGACCCTCACTTTGGGAACTCTTTTTTTTTTTTTTTGGTTAA